ATTTGAAATATACCTGTTACTAAGACCAGTCATTGAATCCCTTATAGTCACCACATTGACTTGAGACTTGGAGTAGCTTGATGACCACGATCTCTATTTGGTTAACCTTTACGGTGGTAGCAATCTTTTGCATAATGATTGGTCTTCCCACATACCCAACAAGATTTTTGATATTTTTTATTTTTGTTCCATATTGTTTATTGAAATTTGCATGTTTATGAAAATTTGTATTTTTGAAATTTTTGGGTTTGGCTTAAAAGCTTGATTTTCTACTAGAAGTGCCTTGTTTTGTTTTTCTACACTTGATTTATCTTTTTGAGTCTCTCTATGTTTTTCTTCAATTCTAAGTGAAATTAGCAACTCATCAAAAGAGAATCTTTGAGGCTTTTGTTTTTTGGTATTCTACCAAACTCAGAACCAAGAAGGAGGTAATTTTTTAATTAACCCACCAACAAGAAAATTTTCTTGAAAAGTCATGCCCTTCATCTTTAATTCATGGACTATGTTTTGAAACTCATGGACTTGATCCATCTCAGATTTTCCATCTATCATTTGAAAATCAAAGAATTTTTCAGTGTAGTACCTCTCTAGTCCAGCATCTTCAGTACCATATTTTTTATCTATAGTTTCCCAAAGTTCTAGTGCTGATTTAGTAGTGCAAAAAATATCATAGATAGGTTCAGTAAGTGCACTAAGAATTCTGCCATGACACATGTAGTCTTTTTCTATATCAGAAGGAGATTTTTTTGACTTTTCAGAGACTAAACTTGTACTAGTTCCATCAACAGTAGTTGTTTCATTAGTCTGGACTTGGTATGTTTATTTTCCTCAGGTTGAGTAGGTTTTTCAAACACAGAAATTAAACCCAAAGTAGTCAACCATAATTTCATTTGTTGTTGTCATCTTCTAAAGTGTTGACCGTTGAACTTCTCAGGTTTGCAAGAATTACATTCAATAGTGCTCATATTTCAAATAAGAGAAATGAATAAACAAATAGAAAAAACAAGTTTGCCTACGTTATTCTAAACTTAATTTTATCTCTTCTTAGATTGTTAGAAAATTAAACATAAAAACACAGATTCATAAATTAAATAAACATGCAAATATATCAAATAAACTCAATCGAACTTAGATAAAAAATAATTTTAGAATAGCCTGGTTTGAGGCGCGAGATGAACGTTGTCCTAAGAAGAGATACGTCCCCTCCGCACAGAGTTTTCTGACGTTTCTTTTCCAAGATACAACAATCCAAGAGAAGATACGGTGTAGGCGTGAATCTCTCTCTAACGAACTAATCTCATCCAAGTTGCCCACAAAACACCCCAAAACTAGTAAATAATGAAGAGAATATGTATATGAAGAGATGTTTTTCTATATCAAAGGAAGATTGATCACATGTCTATTTATATATTAATGGATAACCATTATCCTTTAAGGCTATATATAGTATATATATATATATATATATATGAAATGCTTGGCTTCAACGGCTAGTAACTCCAATGTATATATATACGTATTAATGATATATGTAGTTATTACATATAACTCCCCCTAAAGAATTTCAACAATCAAAATTTAAAATCATAATCATAAAATAAACGTGGGGCTGAAATTATTAATATGAATAAATGATAATAAAATTTAATTTTAAATCAGTTTTCACTCTATAGCGTCTCTATATGAACACAAAGCAGTGTTTGTAGTGGACAAGCAATAAAATCAAATTTTCACTTTATGGTGTCTCTTTATTGTATGTGTTTGATTGCAATGTGGTAGCCTTAAAGTGTAACAACAAAGAGTGACTCCACCATAACTCCCAAAAATTAAAGTTTGGTACTCAATTCTCAAATCTAGGCTAATAGTGTGACAACAAAGAGTGAATGTGCTCAAACCACAAAGCTAACCTAATTGTATGACAACACAAAGTGAATCCACACTTAACATATAAACTATGAAAATTAGTACTTAATTCAATTAGTAATTGTGATAATCTGATAGAAAAGAGTGCATCCACACATAAATAGAAAAAATTGAAAACTGGCACTCAATTCACAAAACTAGGGTAAAAGAGTGACAACAAAGGATGAATACACATTTAATACACACAAACTATGAAAAACAGTGCTTAATTTTTTAAGAAGCTAGTGTAATAGTGTGACAACAAAGAGTGAATCCTCAAATACTCTAAAACTTTGAAAATTGATACTCAGTTCGCGGAGTTAGGATAACAGTATGACAACAAAGAGCGAATCCACACATAAACACCCAAAATAAGAAAAAATAAACTCATTTCATAGTCAACAAAATAGTGTGATAATAAAGAGTGAATTCACCCATAAATATAAAATCTTCAAATTGCTACTCATTACATACAATTTATAAATAGTATGTCAACAAATAATGAATCTAGCCATTACCCCAAATTTTGAAAATTTATTGAAACCGAATTTTTAAATTTGCTATAGAGTGACTTCATAGTGTGACACCATACAAAAATTTAATGTAAATGATAAAAATTGCAAGAATAAAATTACAATTTTAACATGCATTTGATTTATCATAAAATATTATTACATAATTTCCAATACAAATAGGGTTTATGTAATATAATTTTTTTAAAATTTTTTTGGGGGAGAATGAGAGAAAACTTAAACCCTTGACTTCAAGAAAGTAAATTATTTACAAGACAAAAAGTATTATTGAATGACAAGCTCATTGCTATGTATTATAAGTTTTGGGGGTTTAAGCAAAATAAAAAAATAATAAACAAAATCCTTACCATCAATTGTTGATGCTAACAGAGTGAAGTCGACTTTCTTTGCTGCTTAAAGAAAAAAACAATGTTCGTTGATGCTGAATAGAAATATTAAATCGTTGTATTAGAGCAATTTTTTTGTTTCACACAAACTGCTAAAATTGTCCTCAATATAGGACTCCGTAATTTCTGTAACAATGTAATCTATTTTTTTAAATAAAAAAAAAAGAGTCAACAATTCCATTGTAAAACAGTTTTGAAGAAGATATTTTGAGTGATTGAGTCTGCTACACAACAGGAGGATGAGTCTAATCCTCATAAACTTCAACTGCCATATACTTTTGAATGTTGAGTTATAGAATTATTCAAACTCTATCAGCTGAGATATTGTCGGACAATTAGACTGTACACGCTGTGTATATTTAGATATATAAAAAAATATAAAAAGTTCAAATTCAAAACTCTACTGCAACTTTACAACTAGAAACAAGATCAATAATCTCACTTTTTTAAACAATATCGTAATTTAATAAATAAGTTGAAAAATATTGTGTATAGATAAATAAGTTTAAAAAAAAATTATATTGCGGGAAATAACTCAAACAAGAAGACCACTAACATAAGCTAAATGGCATAAAATACTTACTTTTCAAAAGTCAATCAAAGTGAAGACCAAAAATCTGGAACCTCACGTAGGACCCACCCCAAGAACATTTCACTTCTCATCGACCCATAGGATTCATGATCTCTGAGAACAGAGTCATATTTTTTAATTTGTCACTGTTAGTCATTGATCTTAACACATTTTCATCATTGTTGGTCGTTGATTCTCCATGCAGAGGAGGAGTCAAGGGACTGGCCAACGCTACCGGTAGTAATCCACCTCCACCTCCACCTCCACCACCACCATCACCTTGACCCTTCATCTCAGCCTCCTCTTGAAGTTGCAAAGAAAACTCAAGGCCCCACAAAACATTATTTATTCCTGGTCGTTTGAACCCATTTTCACGCAAGCAACTATCACCTAATTCGCCAAACTTCTTCAAGCACTCTGGCGCAATCTCCTCCCTTATATTAGGGTCAACAATTTGATCAAGGGTCCCATTTTTATAACAATGGCGAGCCCACTCAGCCAAATTCACTTGATCCTCGGGTAAATCTAGAATTATAGCCGGCCTAGCACATAAAACCTCAAATAAAACCACCCCAAATGAGTACACGTCCGATTTCTCTGTCAATTGTTGTCGTTTAAAATATTCTGGATCCAAATATCCGAAACTACCCTTCACCGTTGTGCTGACGTGGTTATGGTCTGCATCTATGGGACCCAGTTTGGATAATCCAAAATCAGAAATCTTAGCCACCCATTTCTCGTCCAATAAAATATTGGTGGACTTCACATCGCGGTGAATGATCGTGCGATTCGCACTTGTATGGAGATAATGCAATCCCTTTGCTGCACCAATACAAATCTGAAGGCGTTGCTTCCACGGAAGACATGGTTTCTTTGATTTGTAAAGATGATCACGGAGGATCCCGTGGACCATATAATCATACACTAAGATCATCTCACAGTTGTCATTACAGTAACCAATCAACGACACGACATGGAGGTGTCGTAGCTTCGATAGCATCTCGATCTCTGTTTGGAACTCGTGGACCCCTGATTGGATGATGGGTTCAGTCGCTTGATCGCAACGGTGGTTGCACCGTTGTCGATGTGGCCCTTGTACACATTACCAAATCCTCCTGCCCCGATGACAAAACTATCATCGAAGTTGCATGTAGCTGATTTCATCTCCTCAAGTGAAAAGCGTCTGCATAGATCGGACGACAGTGATAAACCGCTGGATAAGGGGATCCACGACTTGGGCTTTTTTGAACCTAAGTCTTTCACTCTTCTCCGTCGCCGAAAAATCAAGAAACCAAAGATCAAGACTAGAATAGACCCTCCTCCGACTACGCTGCCGATAATGGCCGGAAAACTAGATGTTTTATTATTGTGCTTCTTCACACCAGCTGTTTCACTCAATTTGAAGATTTCTAAACCTTTCAATATAGCATCAGCGTACACAGGTCTAAAGTGGAGGTCAGGGTACATAGCGAGCCACAAGTCTTGCTTGCTCCGACGACCATCTGGGTCGGTGACCATAATGACGTAGTCTTTAAACACCGGGATTCCAGTGCCACCACTCCAGTAGATAACATCTGCTCTTCTCTCTGCCGTTTGATTGTTGATGTATATTATAAAAACCCTTTGGTTCTCAAGGGTCACCTCCAATTGAATCTCGCAGAAATGGAGTCTGAGAAGATAATAAAACCCAGTATCAACAGGAAATCTCCATGTCAGATTGTGTCTTAAACTGTCGTTGCCCATGGTCCTTGTGGTTGTGTAAATGATCTTCGGTGCAGTGTAGGGTGGTGTCTCCTTTCTATATCGGATTGCGACGTCCCTGTGAGTTGTAAACCCATAATCTTCGTAGGTGTAATCGTCGTCCGGACTCCATAATCGAAACATTCCGGTATCATTGGTTATTGAGACCTCATTACCGCCAACATTTAATCTATAGAGAGTCTCAAGAGCAGAGTTGTTATCAATATAAAATCTTTGGTTCTCGCTCACTAGTGGGATTGGATGATCATTGCCGCGAATGTAGAGATTTTCTGGCATTGAAACGACTTCAATGCCATTAACGAAGGCGTAAGAGTTCGGAGAAGGCCAAAAGGTTATATTCAGTATCTGGTTGTCCCTAACATTGACGATGAACTCCTTTATAAGGGAAGCAACTGCGGGTTTCATGGCGGAGACAGTGAGGAAGGCACTGAAGTTGTTTAAGAGGGTGTAGTCGTTGGAAGTGAGGGAGAAGAAAGAGTTGGTAATATCGAGCTCAGAGTAATTAACTGGGTAGAAATAGAGACGAATGAATTTTGGTCCGGCTGAGACTGGGAATGAGTAGGTGAATTGAGAGTGGAAGATACGAGAAGTCTTGTAGGGCACTTGAATGACAGACTTGGAGGATATAGCATTCGACGACGTGTTTTCAATGTTCGACGGCGAGAATTGTGAGCGGACATCGCCGTACCAGCTCCGGAGGCTAGCGTCGGTGGTGTTAGAAGATGAACCACAGTCGAGGAGAATGTAGTCGGTGGGAGTGTAAGGTAGCCAGGGGCTGTTGTCATCTACGGCGGCGGCGGTGATGGTGGTGGAGAGGAGGAGGCAGAGAAAGGAGGAGAGTTGGAGAGTTGAGATGAGCATGGGATTGAGCTTCGGAAGAGAAGGGGTTTGATGGTGGTGACTGATCTTGATCATGGTCATGAAGCTAAAAAAGGTAATGGTAATGAACTGTTCCACTATTTGAAATGGAGCTTGAAATATATTCAGAGAAAAAAATATTCAGGGAGGACGACTTTGACTTCCAAGTCTTTGGATTGGTTAACGTGTGCCTTATACTATTTTTGATGAATATGAACTTGAGAACCTTGACTTATACATGATATATACATAATTACAATTAAATTTTATATGAATTAAATATAATAAGGTTAAAAGTATTTATTTTAAAATTAATTTTTTATTAACAAATTTATCCACAACTCATTTAACAATTAATTTGTTTAGCTCAACTCAAAACTTAGTATTACAACATTTAATTTTTAATAAACTTAGATTTCAAAAAAAAAAAAAAACAACTTATAAGGATTATAAATATTCAAATTGAATCTATGATAAATTTTAATGGAAAAAGTTGAATCTATGACAAGCTTATTTGTGCTAAGAATCTATCACAACTTATAGGTGGTAGGTTTGGTTGTAAGAGAAGGCTTCTAGTGCTTGACAAAATTAATAAACAGACTGGATTAGTGTTAACACACTTAACATACTTAATTACATGAGTTATTTTAGAATTAATTAATACTCGACTCAAATTCGAAGTCCCATCACATGATTCGAATGCCATCGTTAGTTGCAAAGGAAGAGAAAAAATTAGAGATTAAATAAAGAGTTGTATGAGAAGTTCAACGATTTTTTTACAAACTTTCAATCAGGGCAAGTTCTAAATAATGTTAAATTTCTCAAATTTTCAAATAGACTGCAAAAAATTTTAAAACCGCAGTAGGGACAATTGTCCCATGCTAGATTCGCCCCTGCACGATTCATTTGTATTATGTGATTCCCCTTTAAATTTATGAAGAGTGATCTACTATTAATAGAAATTGAAACAAACTACGAGAATCCAAATCCTACTTAAATGACTGAATTCTGGCAATTTTGAACAATTACAATTTTTAACGAAAAAGAATAAAAAATATGATTAGACCCAAATAGTATTAGAGATGAGCATGGTTTGATGTTTGATAGCGAAGGTGTTTGATGGTGGTGAGTGGTAAGAGCTTATGGGGAAGACTGCGTGGACTTAGAAATTTTTGGATTGATTCATCTATATATTTTGAATGCCACTTAAATTCATAATTAATGGTTTATGATTCAAAAAATTGATGAAAAATATATGAGAGTTAAAGTGAGCGGATATTGGATAATTTCGGGCTATTACATTATATTAGGAGAAAGAATAAAAATGTGGCTAGGCTACTATGGTCTTTAACCCAATATTTGTTTGAGGTAGGTTTTTCTTTAGCTAGGCTTGTTATATGATTTGAGAAGTTCAAGTCCGCCTCACTTTTAACTTATTAATATCATTAAATAAACCGAATTTTAATCAAAATTTTGAACTCCTTTAAAAAAACAAATCAAAGTTGAGTAACGTATATCTCAAAAAAAAATTCAGCTCGACTCAAATAGGTTTCTTATCTATAAATAATTTAGCACAGGAGAATTTTAACAATGAATAGAGATAACAATCCTCTCGATGGTGAACCTAAAACAACTAAGAGGTCAGAAAAGGGGCCGGGTGATCACCCGACTTATCTCCTCCTAAGCTTAAGTCAATATACGTTTGGAGGGTTGAGCATAGTATATCTTTTTCTCCGTTTAGTTTGCGTATCTTTGTTCATCTTTCTGAGAGGTATTTATACATGTACCACTAATGAATGAAAGGGTCTTGAGTCCCATCACGACATTTAATGACTTGCACTCTTCTCCACGCGTAATGAATGTTCTACACTCAGATTCTCGTGAGCGTTCAATGCTCGGGTGATAGGACAAGTGCTCGGAGGCATGCCGAGCACTTATTACTACCTCCCGGTCATGTAAGTTCCTCTGATCGGTGTTCGACACCTATTCTCGAATTTTTAATGCTCGGGGTACAATACATCAAGGTTTGCTGAGTACACCTGGTCGGCGCTATGACCATTAATGCTCTGCAATCATGACCGTCAGTTTGGGGTCTTGAGGATGCAGAGACTCATTAATAGCCCTGTCACAGTCACTCAAGTCCTCATTAATGAGTTGTCATATCTCCTTAAAAGCTGATCCCAAACTACTCACTCGGTTCTTCTAAGTAATAACTCATCGGTGCCTTTTGAGTTCCATAACGACTATATTAATCCACGTGTCAGTTTGGGGGCTGCTAAACTGCCTAAAGTCCCGTCATAATTCTTATTTTATTACCAAGCAAACTCTATTGGAAATGTGAACAACCCCAAAACTATCCACAAATAACTCCAGGTTATATGCATTCTCTTTTCCAATAGATTTTTTGAAGAATTAAACTTTATGGTTGATTAAATATATTTTGAAAGATGTTTAAAATAACATGAGGATTAATTACTAAGTTCTACATTTAGTTCTTATATTTTTTTTTGCCGAAAAATTGAGCTCGATTTCGACTCCAATATATACTTGAAAACTCATACTGGGTTGAACTTGAACTTGAGTTCTACTACTTCTAATCGAGCTGTGAATTCTATAATACTTGATGGTGTAAAAAATCGAGAAGCATGAGAGAGAAAAACTGAATCAGCTCTTGATGAGGTGTGTTAGACGTGTAATGCAAAGTGAGTAAGAATGTATAAAGAAATTAAGTGGTTCGCCCATCTAAAGAGCTGATTTAATCCACTGTAATAAAAAATTTTGCTCCTTGGCAGTGTATTGCTTAAGGAAGAAGAAGGTTATAGACTAGGATTTCTGCTTATGGCCCAAGGCAATGTACTTGTGTGCCTTTTCTAAAAAATAATGGTATAATTCTAACAAACTTATCAAATAATATTTAAAGGAATATTTGATTGTTAGAGGCTTTTCTCGTAGATGTGACTTGACTTTTTACAAACGATATGTGGTTTTCTAAAGGTGATAACTATTGTCCAAGGTTAGTTTTATGGGTGGAGTCCTTTTTGACCTTTTTCTCGTGATTCCCAAGCTATTACTTGTCATCAAAGCATTATGACAAACCTCGGCTGTTCAAGTTCAAGTTGGCACATTGACAGCTATCCAAAGTATTTATATAATTAGAATTAACCATTAATAGTAAAATTTAAATCTATTAAGTATACTATTATATGTCAACTATTTAATCAAAATAAAATGTTAATAATTAGATATTGAAACAACACATTTACTGTGACGCAGAACAGCATGTATAGAAATAAT